TGGCCGCACCGCACCGCACCGCATCACCCCGGGTGCCCCCCGCTCGGCGGGTCCTGCTTTGCCCGCGGCAGCTCGGCCTCTCGCGGGGCCGCCCGCGGGGGCCGGGGCCCACCGCCGCTGCCGCCCCTGCCGCGCCGTCGCCGCCCCCAGGGCCGGGGAGAGGCGACACACCTCGTCGTCGTCGTCGTCGTCGTCGTCGTCGTCGTCGTCGCCGTCGCCGTCGTCGTCGCCGTCGTCGTCGTCGTCATTGTCGATGTAGCCGTCGCCGTCGCCGTCGTCATCGCCGTCGTCGTCGTCGTCGCCGCCGCCGTCGTCGTCGTCGTCGTCGTCGTCGTCGACGTCGTCGCCTGCGTCACCGTCGTCGTCGACTACGTCGTCGCCCGATTCGTCACCTGCGTCGTCGCCGTCGTCGCCGTCGTCGTCGGCGCCGCCGTCGTAATTGCTGGAGTCGGCGCCGCCGCCGTCGCCATCGTCGTCGCAGTCGTCGCCAGCGTCGTCGACCGCGCGAGGAGCCAGGAGGGTCCTCCGACGATGTGACTTTATGAATTGCTCCATGACTTCAGGGCGCGAATGGTTTATAGAGCACTTCCGCGTCACAAGCCTCGGTTTCGGCCTGCTATCAGGTCCAAGGGCCATCAATAAAGGATTCGGGATGAAAAACTACCCCCAGGAAAGGGGGCGGGACCTCTGGGGAAGCGGATGGAAAAGCAGGTATCGGCGGATGTCAAGGATCATGGTGGCGTGGCCCTTCGCTTCGCTCGAGACATCCCCCATCCCTGGGTAGGAGAGGCATTGTGGGACTGCCCGCTGAACGTGGCACACTGCTGGTGGTGATGTCGTCGTGTTTCTTGCCTCCGACCTCCTGGACTATCGGGGGAAGGGGAAGGGAGCGAGCAGCAGAAATTCTATGATAAGAGAAGACGCACACATACAACCTGACCAAGCAAGACTGGAAAATGCCACCCTTGCCCATTCGGCTCGTGGGGCCGAGAAGACAAGAAGGAAGAAGAAGACGACAGGGGGCGGGCAAGGAGGAGAACAGCGTCGAGGACAAGGGGACCGCGCGGAGGGCGAGAAGCAGGGCTTCGAGGACGGGGACAAGCACAAGGACGACAAGGATGAAGACGAGAAGAATGAGCAAGAGGAGAAGGACGCCTACAAGATAGACGAGTTGGATAATGGCTGCTCAGAGATAGGCAAGGCCGCGCGAGTGAGGGCGACAGCGGGAAGGACGAGCAGTAGGAGGATGACGAGGCTGTGTGGGAGGACGACGACGAAGACGAGGACAAGGCGGGAGAGAACGAAGACGACGGGGAGAACGACTATAAGAAAAACGACGTGAAAGGCACGGCTTGAAGGAAAATAGGGAGAACAAGAAGGAGGAATATGAGAGGAGGGCGACGACGAGAAAATGCGCGCACACGTTGCACAAAAGATCCGAACGGACGGACACGCACGACAAAAGTCCGGGTATTGCCGAACAAAACCTCATGGCATGCAACACGCGAAGGCAGAGAAACGAACGGATGCCTTCTCAGGGAATAGTTTGACCTTTGTGGCCTCTGTGACCTTCGACCGCAGGGGTGGGTCAAGCGACCCCAGGAGTTGTGCCCGAACCCGCGCAGGGTCCTACTTAGAAATCGTGCGGGCCAAGCAAGCTGCACAGAAAAGCAGCCTGCCCACCTGCTGCAAACTGTTGCCAAGCCAACCACGCCGTGCCGCGAACATCTCGGTCAACCACGCCTCGGCGCTCTCGGGAACTGGTGCCACCGCGGGGGGGCCCGCCACCGCGTACATCAGGTCGGCCGCCTGCTTTGCCACGGGCAGGTGGGGCACGGCAGCGGCGACTGCCGCAGCCGTCTTCCCCGCGGCGGGTCTCCCCGAAGGCGACGCCGAGAATGGGACGGGCGCCAGGCCGACGGGGGGGGGTGGGCCCAGCCCTCGGCGTCTCGACGGGCGGTGCGGTGCACTGCTCTGGTCAGGTCGGGCATGCCCTCCTACAGGCGGCTTTTGGACGAACAATCAAACAGAGTCCAAAAATGGCTCCAACTAGCCAAACATAGATAGAAGAATCGTCCCCCTACGATGTGCTTTAACATTTTCGAACCTTCCTCCCGTGGAGGGATATGCCCGACTCAAGAGGAGCTGCGGGCGCCTGGCTCAACCAGATGGACACCCCATGCGCGAGATGGGTGACCGCGCCCAATGCCCACGGGGTGACGACAGACATCCTCTGGGGAAAAGAGCTTGAGCGAACATGTTAGCGGCCGATCGCTACAATAGAAGCAACACTGCTCGAAACAAAAAATCAAGAGGTCGGACATCGGCGAGGGTGGGGTTCGGATTGCGCCGCCGCACGACTGCCACGACGACGACGGCGGCGGCGGCGGCGGACCAGCCGGGGGTGGGCCTGCTCCCGCGTCGTGAGCCGCGACAGCTCCGCCTGAACCCGCAGCATCTCCGCGAGGGCGAGGCGGCCCTCCTGCATGACCTCCTGCACCTCCGCTTCTTGCTCCTCCTCCTCCGCCTCCTCCTCCTGCTCCTGCTCCTCGTTCAAGGTGGCGCAAGGTTCCTCTGCAGCGAGGCCACCTTTCCATATGTAACGCAACATCACACACTTTGTTTAACCGTATCTGCAGAAGTCACGGGCAGATCGGCCAAGACACAGCCGACGCGTGACCGCTCCATGTCATGCTGAGTATACTGCACTGGAATCCTTTGTCTTTCGTCTCGGCCGACCGCCAGGAGGAGTTTGTGAAGTTGTCTGGCTCCAGCTTCCACGTGTGCGTTTTGGTTGGCACGCAGATTCGAGCAGCACACGGCGCAGTGGTTGAAAAACGTAAGTTGGCAGGCGCTACTTTGCTTCATGCAGGATGGTCTCGAGGAAAGTAGACCAACAAGTCTGCGGGTATCACGATGTGCTTGAGCAGAGGCTTTCGTGAATCTCACGTAGTTAGGCAGTGGCATGTCGACGCAGATTTAGCTTGGCGGGGACTCGGGGTACGTCTTAAGACGAGGGGGATGGACATTGCGGTGTTCGGGCTTTGCTTTCCACCTCGGCCGCGAGGGGTGCAAGGTCGGCCGAATTATTTCGCCACGGTTTCTCGATTGGCAACTTTGCTTCGTAAAGTTGTTTCTGATTTGAATACTCGGGCTCGCGTGCTACCCTTTTTTGTATGGATTTGAATGATGGGATTGGGCTCTCTCGGGAACAAGATCGGTGGATTTATAATGACACGTCGGTCGTCACGGAAGATTTAGCGACTCGGGAGAACCTGGAGGGGGGTGCTGGACAGTTAGTACGGGAGGTGATGGAGGAGAATGGGATGGTATTGCTTGGCTTGCGCAGCGTTATTGAGCCGACGTGGTACGGCAAAGATGGAGTCGCTAGTCGTGTTGATTATATATTTGGCCCTGCTGCCGCGTTGGGCCTGGTTCAGTCTGGTGGCCCCTTGAGGGGCCTCATGCGAAAGCATTAACTCATTCCTTCAAAGCACCCGCGGGATCAAATACCTGTCCACTGCAACTTTCGGTGGGAGCATGCCGAGCCCAACCTGCAGCAGCAGACTAGGATTTCTTGGAATGTTGAGGCCATGAGGTCTCGAAGAGGCCCGTCGGGCATTTATGTCTCGTGCAGGTGAGGCTATTGCCAGCAAAGAGGTCGAGCTCGAGGGATTCTTGAAGGCTGGCCTGCCAGACGCCTATGTCAACTGTTTGAACGAGGCACTTCGTGGTGCTGCAAAGCAGTTGTTTGGTGGCACTCGTTATGCGGCTTCTCCCGAATATCGACGGCAAGCTGATGAGAGAGTCGCACTGCTTCATGAGCGGCTCCGTCTTCGGTCGTCTCTACAAGATGCCAGCACGGAGGAGGAGGAGGAGACCATAAAGCAAGCATTGAGAGCTAGCAGTAGAGCCTGCACAAAGCTGCGCAGGAAGCATTATTTGGAATGGAGGGAGGAAGTGGTATCGGAGCTGGAGGAGGCGTGGCGGGTACGGAATCACAAGGAGGCACATCGCCTCATTCGCTTACTGGCATCTCGTGGAAGAGGCCCTCGCGGTAGGAGCTATCGTCACATGCAGGGTGCCACGCTGACTTCTGATGAGTGGTTGAGTGTTTGGGCCCTGGAAGGGCCGAGAGGGTGGATGGAGGTGGAGGAGATTGCGGAGGACGAGGAGTGCGAGGAGGTGGACCAGAGCGGTTATCATGGCGCCTTCAGCGTAGAGGCTATGACAGATATGATTGGTATTGGTAGTTATCTTCGTAGGGCCCCCAAGAGACGTTCATGCCCGCCATGGTCTCTTCCAGGCGAACTGTGGGGGATTGTCATCGATCCTGAATTTGGGCTGGCGCCAGATCGACTAGGGCTTGGAGCGGACAAAGAATTGGACTCCGCTGTTTTGTATACGGCTCTGCATAAGGGCCTTCAGTGTGTTCGTTTCGTTGGACGTTTTCCACGGCCCTGGAACAGAAGTTTCGGATGTGGGCTTCCAAAATCGTCGGTGCCAGGGCCCAAGGGAAAGCGCGTTATTCACCTTCTCGACCCTTTGGGAAAAGCTTGGCTTGCCGCAGCTATCGCCCGAAAGCGACCGCTTCCCTACGGACCTTCGGATTACGGTTTCTCAAGAGGCCGACGAAAGGAAGGGGCCATGTTGGTTATTCAGTGTATGCTACATAGGCTTCGAGTTTCAGGTTACTCCGCCAGCTGGTCCAACAAGGACCTCAGCAACGCTTTCGCGTCCACCAGCTGCGATGCGCTCGAGCTTGCCAATTCTCTCTTGCTTGGGCCCGAGGATCAGCGTTTTGGGCTTGATAGAGTACGATCAGCTACTATTCAGTTGCCAGCTGCGGACAAGAGGCTTCTCGTGAAGCCCAAGTGCGGGGCTCTTATGGGCGACCCCTACGCAGTAGAACGTTTTGGCCGTGCTTATGCTGCTCCAGTGGATTGCTGGAGCGAACAACTCTTGGACTGTGTTGACTCGGAGAGTCTGCTTGCAGCTGAATGCCCAGTCACGCATCAGCACATGGACTTGAGTCTCACTAAGTATGCTGACGATCTGACCAAGTTGCATCCCGACTCTCCTTTGCAAGACGCAGGGTTGGCAGAACTTAGCAGCACAAACGAGTTTTCCAACGCACGACTAGATGAGCACTTATCTACGGGGGGATGGGAGCAGAACGTTATGAAGCAGAACACCATCATTAGTCTGACGGGGAAGGGGTCTGTGGATGCCAACCGGCGTCTGCGAAAGGATGGGGACGCTCTTTTTTTCTGGCGGAGTTCGTCCCGCCATGCGGGTCCTAGGAGCACAGATTCACAGCTCTGGAGCACTGGCGCCTGAGATCAACAAGAGAATAGTAGCAATAAGGTCGGCGTTTCATGCCTTGGGCAGGTTCTGGTCTACTCCTGGGGTACCTCATCGGCTTAAAAGGTCTTGTCTACTGGGGGTCCAGAACGCTGGGATATCTAATCTAGAAGCCTTTCTCGTCACGGAGAGCCAGTGCAATAAGCTCGACTCGGCTATCGTTCGGTACTGTCGCGTTGCAATGCATGGTGCCAGCTTTGAAGGCGAACGGCACACGCAGACCTTGTCGAATGCGAAGGTGCTCGAGCGCTGGCGCATGGTCCCAACTTTCACCGAGCTCAGGATTCGCAGGCTTGGATGGCTTGCCCAATTTGTTCAGTTTCCTCGCAGGAACTCGCAGACATTGGCTGCGTTGTTCGGTACCTTGCCCACGGACGAGCGGCCTCAATTTGATTACATGGGACGCTTGACAGCATATGCTAACCCGTGGGCCAGGACATTTTACGCCGACCTGGAATCGCCTTCGTCTCTAGAAGAAGGAGAAACATTACTAACACGACTTCAGGGGTCGTTCCTCGCTCTCTTCTGGGATAAGAATCTTGGGAGGGACTTTTGCAAGATCGACGTTACCCAGCTGCGACGCAAACAACACACAGTAGCTATCCCGCCCCCTGAGTACGAGTCCCCCTTGGATCAGGTTCTCGAGCAGGAGGTGGTGGAAGGGGTCGTGGTCAGATGGATATGTGGAGTTTTCAAGGAGGAGGAGGAGGGCGAGGACGATATGACGTTGGGGAGAAGATGTAGGTGCAACGCCAGGTTTTGTGATAAGAAGTCGGCCCTCAATCATCTGCGATTTCATCACCACCTACGTTCTTTGGGCCATGTCTTATGTGTTACCAATCAATGTCCGAGTTGTTTGGAGTTGTTTTCCTGCCGTGTGACTGCGGCTCGACATCTGGTGGGGTCTATGGTCCGAGGGTGCTGCTATGCTGGAGGGGGTCACTGACAGGAGCCACTACAGGAGCCCGATGACCTCTTATGCAAGATATGCGGTTACCATGCCTCTGAACTCCCCGATTACCAACAACATGTATGTAGTCATTTACCTCAAGTGTTGAGGGTGTACGACCGAAAGCAGCACAGATATCTTGACGAGCAGCTACTAGAAGCTGATGCCAGAGTCTCAGGCGCGCCCCGCTTGGATGGGCAGGCGCAAGGACGGAGGCCCCGCTCACAAGGAGCCCAGGCGAGGCGGCGAAGACTGCGGAGGCGGCTCGCAGCAGGTCGTGGCGGTCGGCGGCGCCAAGGGTGCCAACAAGAAGCAGACGCTAGAGGAGCTCGTGGTGGTCCTGGCCAAGCTGGTGCTGACGGACGAGGCGCAGTTGAGGGCGATGCTGGGCGCGGTGTACGACACATTCCTCACGCCGCTCGACGCCGCCGTGGCCCAGCGTACGCTCGAGGAGGGGGCCAACTTCAACACCGAGGCGGGGGAGCGGCGCCAGAAGCTGGCGGAGGCCGCGAAGAAGGGCGAGCAGCTCGAGTTGTCCAAGATGTGCGATCCCTTCCTTCGGGCCTTCGTGGGGCTGATCGACGGACTCCTGGACAAGGACGAGGCCTACGAGGGGGACACGCTGACGGCTGGCCGCCAGGTGCTGAAGACCTACTGGGACCAGAAGGTGATGAAGGCCGCCTCGCCGAACGAGCTCCACGAGATGGTGCGCTACTGCCGCGTACAGAGGCTCAAGACCAAGAACGCCAAGCAGGGCGAGCAGGTGAAGATCCAATTCCTGCTGGACACGACGACGAACGATGGGGTGGTCCTTCTCAAGGCCATCCGCGAGGCGCTGGTGGAGCAGGGTGCAGAGAAAACGATCGGAGGGGCTCTCCGAGGCGCTCTTCTGAGGGAGGCTCAGAGGCTTCTGGATCTGGTGAAGCAGTAGTGACGGCAGCGGCTTCAGGATCTTGTGAGGTAGTGAGGGCCCCTGGTGTAGAAACTCCAGGTCAGGTGCTACTTAGAGTTGCTTCCGAAATGGGGGTCACCAGAGGTCTTCGCGGGCTCTCTCCCACTAGGCCCGCCAGACTTGCGCCTGACCTGGAGGCTCGTTCAAGAGATAGTGTCGAGCAGGCGTCTAGTGCTAGCAGCAATTTTGTTTCTTTGGGGGTGGGCCCTGATTGGAGGTCCAGTCGCCACGCTCA